AGAGTATGTGGTTATTAAAGAATCTGGGGGCCCGCCTGGTGGCGCAAGTGGTTAAGTGTGCACACTCCGCTGCCACGGCCCGGGGTTCGCCGGTTCGGATCCTAGGCGTGCACCAACGCACCGCTTGTCAAGCCATGCTGTGGTGGTGTCCCATATAAAGTAGAGGAAGATGGGCATGGATGTTAGCCCAGGGCCAGTCTTCCTCAGCAAAAACAGAGGAGGATTGGCAGATGTTAGCTCGGGGCCAATCTTCCTCACACACACACAAAAAAGAATCTGGAACAAGGTATGCATCCACTGAGATGTTAGCTGCTGTCATATCATCACTGTCATATCGGCCATCACTGTCATGTCATAACCACCACCACCACCACCTCTATCATCAATAGAATCATCATCATCGTCGTCATCCACAGCAGCATCCTCTAACTTTACTTGGAAGCCAAGTAATCATGGCCATCCTGTCCTTAGCCACCATTTTAGAATCTGATCTGCTATTTTATCTGTTCTAAACTCTTGGTGGATTCCAGGTCAGAGAGGCATTTTTGTCCCTGTTTGATTTATGCCTCCAGGTCAGTATTTGGAAGTGAGTGGTCCAGGAAGCTGTACACCAATGTGTGTATTAAGCCCTTCAAAGTGGTCAAAAGCTCTGGTTCACTAGGCTTGCACAGGCAAATCCTCTGGGTTGTTAAATATTCCCCTGTGATCCTATATTTGTGATGCATTCTGCTTCTCCAAGCAGATTTTATGTCATTGCCACACCCAAAATCTGTCACTGCAGGAGGTGAATAACTGTTTTTATACCTGACACATATACCAGCGTCCTGTCCATGCTCCTCTCTGGAGATCAGCAGAAGTTCCCAGGACCTCCGAGTACTTATCTAACTCTCCGTATTTGTGCAGATGTGTATTTGGAAGGTAGGAGCTTGGGATGGAGAGGATGGCCTCCCCAGCACCACCATTTGTGCAATCCAGGATGTGCTCTGGAGAATAAGGGATCAGCGATGTTGTGATGCGTGGATCACAGTTGTTGGGATGCAGAGATCCCCAGTGGTGGAAGTAGAGAGATGCCAGGATCCTGAGCAGTAGCTGCCACAGCATTGCCTGTGAGGTCACTGATGTGCCACCCCTGGAATGGCCATCAGCATCACTGCAGGTAGTTAAAAAGGCAGACATCGCTCCATATGTCATGTGCAGTTTATCTAAAGGTGAACTTCAGTTTAGTCTGATCAGCATCTAACTTAGAGTGTAAAAATAATGCAAGGGTTTTTTTTTTAAAATTATTGTGATACAAAAAATATAGATAAAAAAGTTCTTCTTAGGAAGGAAGCAATTGCCTTAGTCCCAAATTATCTTAGACAATATTTTGGAATATGAGTGTTTTTGATTTCTACCCATTTGGGCAGACAATTATCAGGACCAGAAAGATTACAGCCTTAGACATTAAGATTCTAGAAGGCAAGGGCCTGGCCCTGGGTTTCCATGCTCTGGGAAGTCCTACCCTCTGGGGAATCACACACACACACACACACACACACACACACACACATACACACACAGCCCCTTGGGAGTGCAGAACCCTCCCTGAGTTCTGGTCTCTTGTGTGTTGCCAAATGTGTTCCTGCATTTCTGAGTTTGCTTCTTCTAGGAGATCCTTACATTTTGTGGATTTCTGGTTTGTTGACTGCCCTCCAGCTCAGCTGTTTTCTGACTGATCTCAGGTACTTCCGCGTATATATCGCTCCCACACTGCTGCTCTTGTTCCAGACCTTGATGTCTGCCTTGACCTTCAACATTAGGGCATGTTTCCAAGTTCTGGCCTGCTTGTGTTCTGAATTTCGTTCCAATCTTCTGGTCTTCAGGATGTTTGGTTTATTTTTCTTTTTCCTGTCACTCTCTATCTGAGAACCCACTGCCTAATCCAGCATTGCACATAGTAGGTGCAGAATAATTGTTTGTTGAATGGCCTACACTACACTACACACAGTGAAGCCAATAATGCAGTTTTTCAATGTTTATAATATCTTTTGTAATAGAAATACAAACGAGTTCTTTTAGAACAAATGATAGGCTCCTGTGTGACTTAGGAAGAATGAATCAATCATTCCTTCATTTGTCACATAGTTACTGACCACCTGTGTGCGCTCTAGGTACACAACAGAGATACTCCTGACAGAGCCAGAAAGAGCCGACCACGTTATACATTGAGGGTTTTTTCCCAGAAGAGGAAAATATCATTTCATAAGGGAAGAAGGTGTCTATCCTTCCACTTATATGACCTAAGTAGTTTGTGAGACTTGACTTTCATCTTTGACTATGAAAATTATATCAAAAATTGACATAAAAATAGCTTTCAATATCATTTTCTATCTAATGACCAATTTATCCAATCCAATTTAATGGAAAGATATCTGGCAATGAATTATCTTGTAAAACTCTTCCAAATTTCAAACTAAATTTTAAATATATATAAAAAGATATTTAAAATTTTTTAAAAATTATTTTCTTTATTTTTGGTGAGGAAGATTTGCCCTGAGCTAACATCTGTGCCAGTATTTCTCTACTTGTATGTAGGTCACTACCACAGCCCGGCTTGGTGATTGGTGTTGGTCCATGGCCGAGATCCCAACCTGCGAACCCTGGGCTGCCGGAGGTTACCACTACACCACCTGGCCAGCCGCTAAATGTAGTCATTTTTAACCTCCTGATTGATAAAGACAACTTGGTAGATCCCAAATCACAGAACTTTATTTTTTAACTTGCAATTTATGAGACTTGCTCCATGTGACAGGGATATTGGCATATGATTAAGTGTGGTTAAATGTATATGAATAAATTGAAGATTGGCCAGAAGTTCGTTAGAATGAGGTTGTAAAAACGTGTTTAATTAAGTTTTCTTTGCTCAACTATTTCCAGAGGCAAAGTAACTCTGTGCGTTTTGTACCATTCTCTTCCTCTCCCTCCTCTTCCTCCTTCTCTGTCCACTTCATTAAAACAAATTCACACATTGTCAGCGAACAGGTCATTGACTTTTGACAAATGTAAACACCTGTGTAACCACCACTTAATCCAGTTCTAGAGCATGGATGTCAAGCAGAAATTTCCCTTGGATTTTGTCACAGTCCATTTTCTCCCCAACTCCAGCCCCAGGAAAGCCCTAATCAGCTTTCTGTCCCCACAGGCTGGACTTCTTATGTGTGGAGTTATATAACACGTGCTCTTTCTGCCCAGCTTCTTTCGCACAGAGTAGTGTTTGAGAGGTTCATCCATGGTGCTGCAGGAATCAGTAGTTTCTTCCTTTTCATTGCTGAGTACTATTCCACTGTTTGTCTATCCATTCACCTGCTGATGCAAATTTGATTTACTTCCAGTGTTTGACCATTGTGAATAAAGCTACTGTGAACTTTTGTACACAAGTCCTCTGGAGACACATGTTTTCAGGTTCCCTTGGGTAAATATGAAGGAGTGGAATTGCTGGATCATATGGTAAGTAACGATTTAATTTTATAAGAAATTGCCAAATTGATTTCCCAGCTGGTTGCACCCTTCATATTCCCAGCAGTGGTGTCTGAGAGTTCTCGTTGCTCCACACTCTCTCCAGCGCTTGATGTGGCCAGTCTTCTTAGTTACAATTGTAGCCACTGTAACAGGTGTGGGGAGATATTTTTGGCAGAGGAACTTTGAAATCACACAAATATTCATTCCTTTTAAAACTTTTAATGTAGTCATTTTTTATTTTATATCAGTGTAGATCGTTGTATTCTGTTTAATTCAATGAATTATAATCTATGACTTTAAAAATAAAAATACAAGATTTGAATTTGCCTGCAATTTCTCTTACATGTGGCTACAATGCAGGGGTAGTTGGTTCTCTGACTGGCCTAGAATATAGGCAAAGCTTCTCAGTTCTCAGAACTACATGTCAACCAGCTCCTCTACCCGATATGACTCAAATGCCTATGAGCCTTTGTCTTAAATTGTTTGCTTTTATAAAGTTCCTTTTAAAAACCCAACTAAAATAACAAGTCATCTAAAGTTATGGTCTATAGGCATTCTAACAATCAATTCTTCAAATCCCCCAAAACTCTAAACCAATGCACTTCATTGAACCATTAGAAATTAATTCACACCCATAATGACACTTTGAGCTTGTTTATTACCTAAAATTTTTCATTTTAAAATAGACCTCAAAATCCTAGGTCTTGCGCCAAACTTCTGAGCCTTTCATATTTGTCATAAACTGATTCCCATCAATTTTGTTCTTCAGCCTTTTTAAGTACACCACTGCATCTCTGTTCTTCAAGGCTACTGCCTGCTGCCTTGCCTTCCTTTCCCAACCTGTTCACTGCATGGTTTACTCGTGTTATCCACTCTCTTGCCAGTCCGTCAGTTCCCTTGACCAAGTCTCACACTTATCTAGTGAAACATCTCCTTCCTCTGTTCTCTTCTTGGGATGCCGAATTCTGCTCAAGAAAATTTAGACCTTGCTCAAATACTCCAAAATTCATGGTTTCTGAAATCAGCTGGATTCAGGACTGACGGGGAAGGATTTGGAATGAATACAACCCCCTAAGAAAATCTGTGTTCTAGAAAATAAAAATTGTCCATTCCTGACCTTTATTTATTGACATACTCCAAGGTCCGTTCTAGGTGTTTCTTTCTTATCTTTTCACAGTGTCTCCCTAGGATCTACTCTTGCCTTTAGCCACTTTTTTTTTTTTTTTTTTTTTTTTACCATTTTTTATGGTAAGCATATTCATTCAGTAACTCTAAATCTTTCATATTGAGCATCACAAGTTTAGAGCTCCAGATCACATCTGACATCTGAGCTCTAGATTCAGGTAGTCAAGTGCTTACTAGGCAACTCCATTTGGGTGTCTCAAAAAAGGTAAAATGCAGCAAGTGGGAATTGAAATCCAGGGCCTTCTCTCCAAAACGAAATCTTTTCCATCCCACTGGTTTGTTAGGTCAGAAATCTGGGCATCATTCTTGGCTTCTACCATATATAATGTGTTGCCAGAATTTTGTGGATTTTACTTGCTAAATAATTCTCACAGGTATCTGTTTCTCTCAGTCTCCACTCCTGACATTCTAATGGTTTACAAATTAAAGTCACTGTGTCCACACTGCTCATTCCTCTAGTCATTTTACACTATTATAGCCAGAGATGTATTTAAAGATGGAGATATGATGATCTCAGTCTCCTCTTTGGACAAGAAATGAACAAAATCTGTAAAAGCTTTCCATTTATTTTAGGATAAAATTGGAAGTTCTTAATGTGAGCTACAAAGCTTTCCATGTTCTGGTACCAGCCTACTCTTCAGCCTCATCATGCTCTACTCCTATTTTGAATTTTCTTTTTATGTGATAATATATTTCTGAATTATCTTTCCTATGTGTGATGGGCCACTTATACTTCGTTGAAGAGAAAGAAAAAAGGAAAATCAACAAACAATACGAGAAAGTCATTGCTTTATTTATAATGTATTTCATAAAATTAAAAAGTTTAGACATGTAAGGGTCCCAGATATCACCAAAATTAAAATAAACGTGGGTTTCCAGGTTAATACATTTGATTAATATATGTAATATTTGAAATAACAGTTATGATATTTGAAATTTAAGAGAAGATAGAGAGTTGAAATATCTTTTTATCTTATCTTGAGCATTTTGTAAGTGGGGAATCAACATGGAGAAATAAAGTAGATTTACATGTGTTCATAGAGAGAGACAGACAGATATGCTATCTCAACCTTTACATTCTTAATGATGAATATGAGATTGGAACGGAAAAAAAGAGGTAAAGAGAACCTGTTACTTCTAGCAATCAACGTACTGGAAAACTGTGAACTTCCCCCTAAATTAGTGGCATCTAATTGCATCTAAGGGGAAGAGATTCTGCCCAAGAAGAGGATGCTGTTGGTTTTATTGTGCTTGATGAAGAACAGGAAAGGGTGATCGCAACGGAAACTTTCATAAATTGGTGCTGATGTGACACCAATTCCTATGCCTGTAGCGGCTGCGGCTTCCGTGCCCTCTTCATTCACCTCCACAAAGGACTTGTGTACCATTGTTGTCAGCTCGAGATCCCGTCTCTCCGCCATGCCCAAGAAGTTGGCGTCCTGTGAACTTAAGGCGTCCACCATCCCCATGGACTTTAATGTGTCCGTGAGGCCATAGCTCTCTTCCACTTTGAAGCGAGGTAAATGTAAATCCACTTTTTTCTCACTCATATTCTGTGAGCTTGTCCACTCTACTAATTTCTCAGCCGTGAGTTTATCTTCAAGCTGCGACAATGGACAAAAGGAACAATGAAGTGATTCTCCGTGGACATTGAACATAGCTTAACATTGGATTGAATCACGTGGAAATCTTTAACAGGAAATGTAAATATGGAAGATTTATTTATATAATAAACTGAATCTTCTGTATTATACCTATAAAATAAATGGAATCTTCTGTAACATATAATTATACATATAAAATAAAAGAACCTTTAAATAAAATTAATTTGTAAATGGTGAACTGTATGTCTCCATTTCTTAAGCTGCCAGCCCACTGCGTATTTCATTTTTTAATCAACTTTTATTGTTAATGTCCTTTGGTACATATTTTTTTACGTACTGCAATTCTAGCATAAATCTCTTTTTATTCCTTTTTCTTGCTTGACCTATTTGTAAATTTTCCCCATATAACTGTATATTTGTCCATCAGGTTTCATTTTTACTTAATACCACCATTAAATTGATATTCAATGTGTATATATTTACTTGATATTTTTTAAACGTTCCTTGTGTGCCAGTCCCTAAGCTAAACTATTGGCAATACAAAGATGCAGTCTTGTTCTTTGTTTTGAATTTTTCATTATTTTGAGCCACTTCTGTCCAAAAGCTTTTGCCTTGTTTACATTAGTTAGCTTAGGATAAAATCCTAGGACTGGGGTTCTTGACGTCACTGATAAGGGGGATTGCTGAGCTGGAGTGTGAATGTTGTAACCACCCTTCATATACAGTGCCCAATTACTTTCCCTGAGGATCTCCAAGTTCCAGTGTTACCACAATGTGTATTTTGCATGCAGCAAGTTCACTGCAACTTCAGCATCACCATCGACTATTACAGTAATTACAGATGGCCATTTGTGGAATGTCTTTAAAATGCCAGATATTGTTACTGGTATTTTTCACATTAACTTTAACCATTATAACAGTGCTAAGAGGAAAATTCCTTTTTTTTCACTCACAGGAATGAGATTCTGAATGACTTTTGAGCTTCTAGGGACAGAATACTTCTAAAGTGAACAGTGGACATCAAGATAAATCTTCTTTTCCACTGTCCACACACCTTCTGTGATTTAATATGCAAAATGGTACTCATTATTGTTTTAATTTGCTTGGTTTTGTTTATGAGTGAATTTGCGTATATTTTCCTTGTGTTACGTTTATCTGAGTCTTAGTTTCCTAGTCCTCAAATGAATACACTGGAATATATCTCAGGTTCTTATGGTTGCCAAATATAATGTATGTGCCTAGCTATAATTTTTTCTGAACTGACATTTCATAATTTCATAAGAATATTAATGAGACCTGTGACATTAAGATTTTTATATGTCTTCCATATCACACTGTGATACTTAAGATATTTATTTTTTGGAATGTGACAGCCGCCAGGTTCTCCTTAACAATTCTCCTTTAGGCTGTATGCAGAGAAGAAAAGTACTGTATTCTTGAGCTTTGCTAGACATCACCAACAATCTGTGAGCACCACCTCCATGAACAGCCCGTACAAGCATTGTACCACTAGGAAATCAGGCAATAGGAAGAATAATGGGAGGTATAAGATTTTACCTTCTTGAGACCATCTACTTCATTTGGCAGCAGCAAGATCATGCTTAGATCTTTGCATTTGTATGGTATTTCCAGGATCTTGGCTTGTATGTCCTCCAGTGCAGTGAAATTAAAGAAACTTCTTTGTTTCATCATCTGCACAGATTTACTGGTATCCTGCAGTAATTAATGTGGGAAACAAATGCCAAGAGAGGCATAAGTCAAACAAAGATATTGCTATTGAGATACCAAACACATCTTCTTTCTAAGAGATGATCTGGGAAATTTGTGAACTAGAGAGAAGAGTTTCTTTAAGTAATCCAAACAAAATAAAGTAAAAAAGACAAAACAAGAAGAAAATACAGCCATGACAAGTTCTATTTTCATCTTTAGTTTTACATTTTATCAGAGGTGAGTTTAAATTTAATTTTCCATATATAACTACACTATTACCATAAATAAATTATAGATAATACCTTGGTCAGCCAAAATTTTTCCTCCACTGTATCTTCTTTATTAAATTTCACATTCCACTGCCCTTTGAAATAGACTGCGTTCACCAGAACCAGAATGGCGGAGTTAAGAGAACCATTGGGAAACAGGTTATTGATTTTTCCTGCAACAGAAAGAAAAACAAAAGTCCATAATAAAAGTACAAGTGGTTTGTCTGGAAGATGCTTTGAAAGATACAATTGATCATTAATTATTCACACAAGGCACCACTCTGGGGACTCTGGGACCAATAGTTCATGAGGTACAGCTTTCCTTATGGCAGAAGCCAGATGGAGTTACCCCTGATGTGGACACCCCTTCTTATCATTGGAAAGGTGTTCAGAGTCTCTGTCTGTGGGTGACTTCAGCCATCTCACACTGTATATGGATAAATGGATTTCAGGTACTCTTTCAACAAATCCATTCCCTTGCTCCCTCCCTCCCTCCTTTGTTTTACCATACCTCCAGTTCTCACTACTCCCTCCCTTCGTTCCTTCCTTTCTGTTTTTTTAACTTTGGTTTCACTACTCGGGGGAAGTAGGCCTTGATTATTGTTTAGGACAAATGGCATGAACTCTATGATCTGAAACACATGCCCTGTGCTATCAGAAACCATTCCTTGGGGGGTCTTCCTCTTCATTTTTCACATTGAATTGCTGTAGGTTTGGCCTATAACGGGGGTGGGAGGTAGGATAGGGATTCATATGGTGTGAAGACTTTGTCAAGCTCTCTGCCCTGGATGGGGGTGACAGCTGGGATCACCCCTCGGGATTTGGGGATGGAGAAGTGAGCAGGCAGCTCCAGCAACGGATGGCAAAGAGGGTAATTTACAGGAGAGCTGCTTGTTTTCCAGTTGAAAAGGCAGATTGGAAACCTTTCTAATGTTTCTCTAAGGGATCTTAATACAGAAATGACGCCTCTGATTTAAAGTACAGGATGTGAGCCCAAGATGGGGTCTGAGCATAGAGTTGGAGTCCAAAAAGTTCCTGCCATCCATGGCCATGGTCAAACACAGACCTGCAGCTATATTTCCAGGTAGCTGGTCCCGTGACCCCTCTAGGGTTCCCCTTTTTTCTTTCCACATTGATTTGGACCATTCCAGCAGCTGCAGTACCCTCCTCTGTCCTCTCCGCGAACTTGTCTCATCTCCTTCTCCCGGCACCCCACGCAGTGTCAAGCACAGGGTTCTAGCACAGTGGATACTCAGTGTGTTTCTTTATGGGCGATCTCCCATACTCTACCATTCGTTTGGCTTTCCACCCAGGAATTAATCTTCTCGCGACTTTCTTCTGCAGCATTTATAAAATCAGCAGATTCCACACTGGCTAGGTAGAATTTCTTAACATTATCCATGTATTCCTTTGACGTGGGAAGGAAGAAAGGAGAAATTAAGAGTAATTTCTTATTAACTATGTATTCCCAGGTTAATTACTCTCATCTTAACAAAATATATCACAGGAATCCTGACTCTAAAGAAATCCTCATTTTCTTGCCCATGTGTATTTTTATACAGCTCCCACGTGGGTAATGTGAAAGGGAAGTACAGGATGGCACAAGAACGTGGTCTCTGAAGGGCAGTACCACCTGACAAAGCCTGGAGGAGAAGAAGCTGTGGGCTGTAAACTGAAAGCTCGGTGCTCCGAAAGAGATGGTGTGCTTCTGGGACTCCTCTCCAGTAATATCCCCCCATCAGGTTCTCATCTTTGCTTGTATCTTCCATCCTGGGCATTCGGTATTCCCTGGTACCTCCCCAGCTTTCCTCAGGGACCCATCACGTCTGCCCAGCCCATCAGTATCCCATTAACCATACATTTCCTGAGTCACTGCCCACCAAAATTTAAGCCATG